GGCCCGGGCCCCGCCGAGGCCTTCCTTGGAGGCTTCTCTTTTAATGTGGAAAGGGAATATTGTGTAACCCGGGGAAACCTGTCCTGGGGGCCGCGGTGTCTGTGGCGACGTGCACGAGCTGGCAGGGCTCGTTTCCCCCTCGGGTTTGGTGCCTCGTGCCGGGAAAACTCCGCAGGGAATTCACTTTTGTTGTTTCTCCTCCCGTCCAGAAAACCTCGGCTGGGCGAGTCGGACACAACTGCTCTGCAGTCGGCTTTGTTCAGCGTTGCTGGTCCCTGCCTTCATTGTGCTTTTCCTTGCGGGTTCTTGGGTGAGGAAATAGGGCTTGTTTCACATGGCCTGGTGTATTATTAAACAGTTTGTGGCTCCTCTGCTTCTCGGGCGTGATTGCAAGTGCGTGCAGATCATCCTGTCTGCCCACAAACAGGTGTCGTGCAGTTGTTTCTCATTTGCTTGAGTATCCATAAACACGGGATGTTTAACTCATCCCTAGGGGCAAAGGTTTATCCTCTCCACGGTGTGTGTCTCTTACAGCCACACACAGGGCAGACTGCGTGGGTGACAAAGGCACTAATTAGTGAAGCCGCTTATTTAGGATATCACTTAGGTGAGGCAGATCAAGACACCTTTGTATTCCTGCTTCAATAGTTGATTTAATCCTGAATTTCTGCAGTGAAAGGGGCTGGAGTATTTCTAGGCGTGGGAAGGGCTGTAGGACTGAAGTGAGTTGGTTTTGGTTTGTGGGGTTTTCTGTGAAGTGTGAATTTCCCCGAGTTTTCAGAAACTAAACAGGAAGAGAGCTGGAACAAAGTAAAGAGACAGGCAAACTGAAGCAGGAGAGAAGCTGGAGAGGATCCTTTTTTTATTTCCTCCACTTTATCTTTCTGTCCTCCAAAATTGAAAAGGAAAAAAAGCTTCAGAAAACTCCTTGCAGCTCAAACCAGTGCAGAGGACCCAGGAACACACGTGGCAGTGCCAGAACCTCAGCTCAGCTCAGCGTGCTGCTGCTTCTCTGGATCAAATGTTCACTCCTGCCAGCAGACAAGGAACGGGAGTTGTGAGACGGGATGATACCCCTGGAAGGGAGATGATTGTAGAAAGGTCTCCTCAGTTCCCAAGCCCTGTTTAGTCCAGGTGTCTCAGTCTGGGGAAGAAGTGGAGAAAGTTCTCTGAACTATGAGATGTTAAGAGAGAGACAGTGCATCCTACCACAGGCCTACTGGCAGCAGTTACTTTGTCCTGATAATATCTACCTGGTTTGTGAGATTCCTTTTGCAGAGTTCGTTTAGGGAGGAGTCAAATTGCAAATTAAGTTGTCGGCCCACACAATAAAACCTAGAGGCCATGGCCTGGCTCCTGAGAGTTTGGTTCCTTTTTTTCAGCTGTGTTTGTGTGATGCTGTCTCAGGGGCTGCATCCTGGAGTGAGCAGGTAGTGAGAGCAACAGCCAGAGCAGCTTCCAGGACGTTTATTTTACAAGACACTTAAGAAATGCTTTTCTCTTTCTTCCTGCCACTCTGAACGTGTCATAAAAGTTCAGATTTGTCTTCATAAAATCCTGTTGTGCCTATACAGTGATTCAGGCTTTGGGGATGGTTGTGTCAAACGTCTTCCTTGACACACGTTTGGCAGTTGACCTTAATGACTCAGAACTTGAATGATATACTTGTGCAGCTCTTTTGTTTGAGCTTTGCCTCGTTTCTTGTTTTTCTTCATTGGCTGTAGATGTTCAGTGTAAGGAGGTGCTTCTGTCACACTGACACACTCGTGCTGACACATGTTTCCATTAGTGAATGCTCCTATAAATTAACTTTTGCATCATGTTGGTAAAATAATCATTAGGCTGAGTGTGGGAAGTATGTGACTCTAGAGATGAGGCAAGACTGGTGGAGGAAGGTAAAGTCCTGCTGAGTTGCAGAGGGGTGGGATTTTTGTGCAGGCAAGATAAGGAACTTCTGCCCACAAGTTTGTGGTTTTGTTTTTTTCCTGGACTATACTTTTTATTTCTCCTTACACATCTTGTCCTCCTGCAGGCACAACAAAAAAAATAAGTCCCAGGTATCTGTGACAGCTCGAGGCCTGTTATTCATATGATGTGTTTATAATTACTCTGGAATGCCCTTCAGTAACAGATATGCTTGTTACTCTGCTGGTCTGAGGGATCTGCAGCTTGTGCTCAAAGTGGGAGGGAAAAAAGTTATTTTAGATGTTACTTCACCAGGTCTGCCTGGAAAATTAGGGAAAGTTGTGGAATGAGGTGATTTAATCTTAACACAGTGACACAGAGAAGAGAATATGCAGACACACACTCTTACTTTGAGTGCATACTTTATAAATCTGTTTGGCAGGTGGTTCTTCCTTTTCAGAGCTGTAAGAGGGAGTCTCCAGACAAACCTGAATGTTCCATAAGGAAAGATTCTACCTTTGGGTTTGTGAAGTACCTGGGATGTGGTTGTTGTAACGTACGAGTCTGTGTACTTGGAAATTGTTTTCAAAATCAGTCTATCTTAACAACTAGTGTGAAAAAGGTAGCTTGGTAGGTATGACTGAAGCCAATGAGCTCATAAAAGTGTAATATAAGTGTTTAAGTGATGATAATTCCTCGCTGGGAAGGTGTGGCAGTCACTTGGCCTTGGGAATGGTTGCTGTGGTTAAGATTTCAGTGGTATCATAAAATAATTTAGATTAAAAGGCACCTCTGGAGATCACCTTGTCCAATCCTCTCCTCAGAGCAAGGCCAACATCTCAGTCAAGTCAGGCTGCTCATGGTCTTGTGCTGTTCAGTTTTGAGTATCTCCAAGAATGGAAATTGTACTTTCTGGGCAGTTTTTTGGTGCTTAACTGCTGTTGCTGGGGAGAGATTTTTCTCTGTGGGATACAATGCAAATCTTGCACATCTGAAAACCTGTTCTGTGGCCAAACTATAAAATGCCACCGAGGTGTGAAGTGTGAGTTTTCCTTAATGAACTCCTGAAGGGAACAGCATCTCACCTTGATGCTTTTCTGACCAACAAGAGGGTTGGTCGTTCCCTTCATGCTCCACCTGCACCAGGGCTGGTTGAAGAGCTGGACTGTGGCTGCTCAGAGGGCTCATGAGCTGGTGCCAGCCCAAGCATGGGCACCCAGGAAGGACAGTTGTCCCTTACAGTCCCTTTGCACCAAGACATCACTGGCAGAGTCAGAGAAGCTACATTAGACTTCCTTAAAAGTCATGACATCCTTTGCTGCCAGCCTTTTTCCTTCCTGTTTCTGGGACTACCTCCCTTCTCTCTGTTGTGACTCGTGTGTTTCTGTTGGTATCTGTCTGCTGCTGTGCACCCAGAGATATTTTGGGCTTCTTTTGGTTTGTTCTTTGATGATCCACATGCTTGATTAACTTGAGTCCTGTACCTGTGGCCTGTTCCTTACTCTTGATTATTGATTTTTTCTGGACACATCTGTTTTTTTTCCCTGAGCCTGCTAGTGCAGGAAGTCATAGAATGCTATAACAGTTTGGGTTGAAAAAGACCTTTCAGATCTCAGGAATGGTTTCATGCAAAGCTTAGAGTTTATTGTGGGTTTTGTTTGGTTTGTGTTGTTTTTTTTAAGGGGCGGGGGAGGATTCAATCTTTAAGTTTCAAAGTGAATTATTTCTGCCTTTTTTTTCCCCTGAGGAGATGCTGCTTCTGCTTTCCTTGATGCTTCAACTTTTGAATTCTAGAATAATGACAAACCTTTGTATGGATCACTAAAATTTCTTAACCATTCTTTCTCTTTTTACTTGTTCCTCCAACAAAAGAAGACTCCCCTGAATAAGAAATTAATTGAATTTTCAGATTTTTTTATTTTTTCAGCTTCCTTCTCTTACCTGAGGAAATTGACCCAAACTGAGTATGTTCAGGTCAGGTTTTGTTGGTTTTTGTTTTTGGTTTTTTTTAACAGAGCTGTAAGCACCATGTCCCAGAAAATGAAATAAAAATATTTGGCATCCTGTAAGTTCACATGGACTTCTCTGCTATTATTGTGGTATATCCTGTAGGAAAGAAGAATATAAAGATGTGCACTTGTGTGGAAGTCTGGCCAAATGCTTCGTAACTCACATGATTTCTGGCTGGTGCTCTAGATGATAGAGGAAACAGAGAGCCTTTTGAGCCAAGCTAAAAGGAAATCACCTTTTCCTTTTATTACTTTTTTTTTTTTCTGTTAAAGCTCTGACTGTTGAGCAGGACATATGAAGAGATGGGTCAGGACAGTAGAACCTGGGGCCACTGGTGTCTCCTGTGTATTCTGAGAGCAGGGGAGTTCCTTTAGGATTAGTCATGAGCTGATCTGTAATTTCTCAAGGGGAAAACCCCACAACCTGTGTCTGCTCTCAGAGCTGTTTGTTACTGAAGCACTAACAATGTGCTCCCAGGAATGAGTGCTGCTGGAACACTTGGAGTCAGGATTCTCCTGAATTTTCGTCTCTCCTTTTAAACACAAGGAAAAATGATAACAAATGCAGTGTTTGGAAGAAGCATTTTCTGCTGGATGGAATACATCTGTGGAACTTGTCTTCCTTTCAGTTATCTCTGAAACAATCTGTTTTGGAGAAAAGTGGATTCAGTGATGCAAACATTGGGTCCTTTTCAAAATCTGTTTTGAGAAACAAGTTCTTCATGCTCTTTCTCTCAGAATAATTGATTAAAACTGTAAAAGTTGCTTCTTGAAACCCCTCTCTCAACAGGAGACAAAACAGTTTCAGGTTCAGGGAACATGTGTGTTTTCCTTGGAATCCTGTGCCTGTTTTCACACAAAGGTTCAGCAAAACCTAATAATTTTTGAACGTGATTAATTCAATTTAGTTGCCAAAGGAGGCTGGTTTTCAGAGTGTCTGTGCTATAAAATTCACAAAGTGTTAGATCAGCATTTGGAATATGTAGTGCATCCAGGGCTAAGGGAGACACTGAGATCTTGGTTCTTCCAGACCGAGTAACTTCTTGCATCTTCCTCACTCTCCTGAAGGAAGCAAGCCACTATATTTTTCTCAAAGACAAAAAAGCAACAAGAACTAAACAATAAAAACCTGTGTGTCTTTTAGGAACTGTCACTTGAGCTTCTCTGTGTTCTGAGCTTTGTGACACCAAGGCCCATTCTGAAAAGAAGGCATTTTGGTTATAGGGCTGCAAGGGATCTAGCATTTATGTTTGCAGAGGGCTCCTATCAGTGATCTGCTATTGTTTTATCATTTCTGAGTAAATTCAGATCCTTACAAACCAAAGACTTCAAGGTTTGGTGTTTTTATACTTCAGATGTCTGCACTGTATGGGCTGTCTGCAGTTGCCCTTTGGATTAATTAAAAGGTGTTACTTCACCTGTGAAAAGTGAAGATCTTCAACAGCTTTTTGGACAGGTTGTGCAGTTGGTGACAAGTCAGGTCCTTGTGATTCAGGCAGAGGAGGGAAACAGATCCCTGATTTTAATCCAGCTCTTTCTTTGGAACTCTTTCAGGTTTATTGCCAAGCCATGTGCCATAAACCTTGGCATTCAGGACAGTGGACCTCACAGAGCCCAGCCCAATGCAATTTTAGAGAAGGTGTTTACATCCATCACTAAGGTGAGTCATGATTCAAATTCTGCTGGATAAGGAGGCCTAGAAGTAAGGGGAGAGGGGGGAGTTCTTTGCTTCCACTTGCCCTAGTTCAAGAGAAATGCATTTCATCCTGTGCAGGCACAATGAGCAAACCTCTTATTTTACTTTGCCTCTGGCACGTCCTTCTTGTAGCAGACTAAATTCCCTTTATGGCTGAGCTAAGCTTTTGTGCACAGAAGAACCTTTTTTTGAATAAAAAAAGGTTTTGAGGCTTCATCCTTTAGTTCCCTGCTGTTGTCCAGCTCCTGCAAGAGGTGGTGATTCTTGGTTCAATAAGTTTCCCGGAATCTTTCCCTTTCTGTTGGAAAAGTGCTGCTCTTTTCCTTGCGATCTGTTCCTTTCCTGGTTTTATTGGCCATTTGTGTGAATGCCTCCCTCTGCTTTTTGCCATCTGCTGTGGAATTGGACAACAGCTGTCACAGTGGAAGTCAGATATTTGAGGAAGGTGTTCAGTCAATGGAACTGTGCCCTGATAAAGAGTAGGACATTTAATGCTGGCAGAAGGTGTTCCTCTTGATTGTTTCATGGCCTTTCTTTCCGTTCTCCTTCACTCCAGCCTGACAGAGTTCCACACTGTCTGTGCTCTGGGTGTTGACAGTGAGATCCATGCAGACAGTGTGATAGATTTTCATTAAAGATAATGAAATGGAAAGTTTTATGTTCTGGTTTTGTGAGCTTCATTTTGAGTGGAGCAGATAAAGTGCTCAGTAAATGGAAGGGAAATTCTATAAAAGCTTTACTAAAAGTGGCCTCATGGGAACATTAAAGTTTAGAGATGTTTGGAATGACGTGTGAACTGAAAAGTCTGTGAGATTTGATGCTGTTTGTGGGGATGATTTTATGCCAGGGATGCCCTTGAAGTGAGTGGTTAGGAAGCCCAGGAGGACACAGGCTGTGCAAAATGTATTCAGCTTATGAAAGCAGAGCTGTGTTCAGGTGTACCAAGGTGCTCGTGGCTGCTGTTGCACTCGGAGAAGTGGATGTGGGGTGGCACTGGGGCATTGCTCTGAAGTCAGAGCTCTTTGAATTCCTAGAGGCAGGTTCACTTCCAAGTGTCTGGCAGCCCAGACCATTAAAGCCTGGTTAAGTGCAGGGAGATTTGGTTGTGGTGGGATTACAGACACAGGCTAAGTAGTGAAAATCAAATGACAGATAATCTTGCTTTTCAGCTGCACTGTCTGGAGACTCTATTAAATCAGAATTCTGCAAAGTTCTTTTGGTTTTTCTGTAACTCCAGTAGTAAAATGTGTTTATCATCTTTCAGTTGTAAGAGCTCCCTGGCAGAGCTTGTTAAAAGGATACTGGTCTGAAACTAACATGGCTTATCTCACCACTGGGCCATTTTAGAGGTAGTTATCAGGTTTTGTTCACTTTGTCTCTTATAAATCCATTTATGTCATTCTTCAGACAAATGAAACTGCCAGTTGAGTTTCCAGTCAGAGAACAGTGATAGATTATTCATCATACAATTATTTCAGTTTTCAAATTTAATCTTGTTAATAAACTTTGCTAATGGAAATGACAGCACCTCTGTGGTGCTCTTTTGGAATACAGAAATACCTGGAGTGTTAAACCAGCTCTTGCTTTGAAGTTTCCCTTCAATGTGTTCAACTCTGGTTTTCCTGGACTGTTTGAATTGTTGTGCAGGTTTTAACAGGTAGGACAGGGCATTTGAAAAGCTGCTCCTCCTCCCAAATTAAGACACAGAACAATTGCATTCTTTGTTACAGTGTTCTGCCAAATGATGGGATGGATGCAGAAATGTTAAACCAAAAGCATTCTGGATAATTAAGTAATTAGTGGCTTATGAAGGTTAAACATGAATGAACATTTGTGGCCATGGGTTCCTGCTTCTGTACCAAGTGCGTTCCTAGTCTGTGGGGTTTGTTACCTGTGCATCCTTTCTGTCATGGTACAGAGGGGATCTCAGACTGCAAGTAGGTTGAGAAGTAAGAGAAATGACACTTGTTTCATTTTCCTTCAGTCTCCAGATGGAAAGAGGTTAGAAGGCTTGTCAAAGCAGCTAGACTGGGATGTGCGAAAGATCCAGCGCTGGTTTCGTCACCGGAGGAACCAGGACAAACCCACCACCCTCACAAAATTTTGTGAGAGCATGTATGTCTGTGCAGAGGCCAAGATGTGGCTTCATCTTACAGCTCCAACTGTGTGTTGTCTTCTCTAACTGAACCTGTGGTCAGCTGCTGATTTAAATGGGTGACTTGGGCTGGCTGGGGGAAGGTAGATTCTCTTCTAAGCAAATGAAAGAAGTGAGGAGGGTTTTTTAGAATTCAGTGATGTAAAATATTTTGTATATGTGCATGAGTGGCCAGAAGATGTGCAGGAGTCATTCCTGTCCACTCTGAGCAGCTGGTGGGCCAGGCCCTTGCTGTAAAGGTGGCACCTCAGTGTGCATGTGTGTCCAGATGTGTGTGCACAGTGTCATTGCACTGAGGGCCAGGCTGGTGTCTCCACACTTGTGTCAGAGACCAGCATTTGTTTCCAGACAGAACAACCTCCTGGCTTACACAGTGATGGATAAACCCTTGAACAGACACCTCTTGGGTTCCTGTTCTTTTCATTTCAGTTCACTCTCTTGTTCTTTGTTTCTTTCTGAGTTACCTGCAGTTACCTCTGGTAGTTTAGTAGCATCTGCATTTTTTTTCCTGACTTGTTATTTCTTCTGTGCTGGTTTCTTTCCTTTCTAGTAACTTTCTTCATATTAATTCTTCCCCCCAGTATGGTTTTGTCTACTTAAAGCCACAAGGTAAGAGGGACATATTCATATATTAGGACACCTTCTGGATAACAGAATATCTTGTTCTACATTAAATCATACAAATGATGCATGTTCCCTCTGAGCTTTATTTCAAACTTGTCTCTTGATGCAAACTTGTGTGTGCTGGGAAAGCTTTTCACTAGGTTTATTCTTACATTAAATGTTTACAAATGAAGAGATTATGTTTTGGGGGGTGGAAGCTTTTCAGGTGTCAAAATTGGGTGTTTTTTTCACACCTGTTCCAGTTTTTGTTACAAATGTTGACCAAAAGCTCTTTCGTAAGTGTAATTTGTTTTGTTTGTTTCTTTTCTTCCAGGTGGAGATTTACATTTTATTTAAGTATATTTTTTTATGGAATCAGGTTTCTCTGGACGGTGAGTTGGTCTGTCACCCCCACCCCTGGTTCTGTGGGGCATGCAGCTGGGTTCTGGTTGTTCTGCAGAAACAGGGGGGCTTTGGCTCCTGTGTCACCCCTTCAGGGCTTGCACCCAACTTAAACCAAGAGGGTTTAGTGGTGATAATCACCTTTATGTTCCCTTGTTTGAGATCCTTGGGTTTCTGTTTAAGGACCTTCTTCCCTGCCCATGCAGGGGGGACTAGATGATCTTTTAAGGTCCCTTCCAACCCAAATCATTCCATGATTCTTTACACTATAGGAAAGTTCTACAGATCTGTCATTATGGAAATGTTAGAAACTTTGGGGACAGCACTGAGTTTTTGGTTTGTGAAGTGTTTTGTTTTTATTGCAGGTTCATCTCTTGGGGTCTTTAGCAGTATTAGGGCTGCCTGATTATTCTTTGAACTTCCATTGCAGCGTCACTTGCCTTTGACTGCAGAAAGAATATTTTAAATCACTAGGATGTTTTATAATACATTTAGCTTGAATCAAGATACAATCCCAGGGTGACAGCACTGTAGGGATCAGCTGCCTTAGGTGACAGGGAAGAAGAAACCCAGGGAATAACAACTTCTCTTTCCC